GAATTCCTTATTGAAGGAGGGACAGTGGTGGGATTCTTTGACCCCCCTGCCTTGATAAGCCTCTAAAGCCTTATAGTATTCACAGAACTCAAAAACCACTGGATGAATTGACACCAAATTTGGACACAAGACACCTAACAACCAATGTATGTCCTTCACTCAAAAGAAATGATTTTGTCATTTGGGAGTTGTAGTTGCTGGGATGTATAGTTCACCTAAAATCAAAGAACATTCTGAACTCCACCAATGATGGAATTGAACTAAACGTGGCACGCAGGACTCCCATGACCAACAGAAAACACCAGAAGTGTTTGGTGGGCATTGGCTTTGAGTTTGGGAGTTATAGTTCACCTACATCCAGAGAGCACTGTGGACTCAAACAATGATGGATCTGGGCCAAACTTGGCACAAATATCCCATATGCCTAAATATGAACACAGATGGAGTTTGGGGAAAATAGACCTTGACATTTGGGAGTTGTAGTTGCTGGGATTTATAGTCACCAACAATCAAAGAGCATTCCGTACCCCACCAATGATAGAATTGGGCCAAACTTCCCACACAGAACCTCCATGACTAACAGAAAATATTGTGTTTTCCTTTGGTGACCCTTCTGAAACCCCCTCACAACCTCCCTCCCAGGGGTCCCAACCCCCAGGTTGAGAAATGCTGCCTTAAGGCCTTCCAGTCCACCTTCCTTCACCAGGACAAGAAAACATAATCAAAGACCTCCTGACAGAGCCATCCAGCCATAGATATAGAGAGATATGATTCACAAACACACACATATGTATATGACAGATATAATATCATAGATTTGAAAGGGGCCCCTAAAGAAGGACAATTATATATTGTCTGTTCCAGAGTAGGCAAACCAGACAATCTCTACATCAACACAGATAAAGTAACAACAAGTACAGTTTACCCACAAACATAAAGAAATTACATATATTAGAAACCAACACTTTCTCATTACTTTATTTTCCTGATCACTAGACTGGGCCACAGCAATGCGTGGCAGGGGACAGCTAGTAAATAATAATAAATAAAAAACTTTATTTATATCCTGCCTCGGGATGGCTTATTATATTATTATTTGAAACACAAAAAGATAGGTACACAGCAAACAAGATCACCCTGCTGGCTGTTGTATTGTATCACACTTCCCAAGTGTCTAGGATTATGTGATGTATCAGCAAATAATGCATGCAGATCCCAGTAGGGTGGCCTTTTGCAGCTGACAGATGGTAATTTTGTCAGCACCGATTGTGTTTAAGTGCAGGCCAAGGTCTTTAGGCACTGCACCCAGTGTTATTGTTATTTGTTTACTTTTAAAATGCTTAAGCTCTATCATGGTAATCTCAATGAAGATATGCATCATTTAGTCTCAATTGCTATGGAATCAGTTATGGACTGTCGCCTTATGATAGTCTGGACATTATGCTTTTTGGCTGGATGTAGAAGAAGCTGATCTAGAATAAAGGCATTCATACTGTAACTACTTAGGAGGAGGCCCCAACACATTCAGTGTGAGTCACTTCTAACTAGCATGGCACAGGAGAGCTGCAGCTTTCATTGAGAGCACAAGGGTGGCATTTGCAAGGAGAGAAGACAGTCATTCATGGAGCATGAATGCAAAAAAGGAAATCTGTTTGCTGTTCTCTTTTACCAAATGTTTCATTATTTTCATTGAGCTTCATGGAAATGCTGCTGCCTTGGAATATATTGGCATTTTGGTTTCTCTCTGTAGTTGTCTCTCACCACTCCTTCTGCTCTGAGTTCACTTCTGAGAGAGTGAATACACCTCTCTGACACTCTCTAGCGGTGGCACCCTAGCATTCAGCTGAAACTCTCGGTAGGGAGAGGCTGACATAGCCCACAACACACATGTCTTTCGACTCTGTAATAGGCAGAGCACAGGGAGGATTTTTTTTCTTTTGGAATGCAAGTAAACCATACATTGAGATACCAAAGGATGCTGGCATTGTTTGCTGTTACTCTTTATGGCAGTTTAAAAGCAGAACATTAACTTTACTAATTGAAAAAGTAATGTTTTACCTGAACGTTTCACTTTAACTAGTATTATTTTAATATCTGTTTCAAAACTATTTTAGTTTAATATATTTTATTTATTGGGGACATTTTTTAATCTCATTTTGCTTTTCATTTCTAAGCCATGTGAGTTCCACTTCTATGATTAACAGTAATTAAAACTATCAGTTAACAACAGTAACAACAGCATCTAAAACAACATGTTACACTGCTCGTTACTTTTGTATTTTTTCTAATACTTTGAGAAAGAAAAGACACCATAAGGCTGGTAAGAAAACAGCATAAAAGTTGAAAACCTCTGCCAAAATTTTAAAATAAAAATCAAAAGTAGCTTTATATATGAGACCTTCATTTTAACTCATTGCACTGTTTTTGAAATGTAGCTTAGTTCCCACCCCTCCAATTATCTCTCTTAGCAATTAGTTATGGGTCACTCACTATAGTTAGTTGCATGCCTATCTTCCACATTCTGATCTTGCAATCAAGGTCCATTTGTTGAACAACTCAATATGTTTCTAATGACATTTTGTGCTTTCATACAGCACTGGCTGTATGAAACTTTTCTTTTCTTGCCTTCAGTTTGCAAACATTTCTGACAGAGATCACAATTTCTAAAGGGCTCCAGCTGCAACTGTGTTAGTCCACTGATTTACTGGATGGGCCTAAGAATTGAGAACATACACACACACGAACATATACATATAACCTTTTCAACTCTGCAGTAAATTGATAGAAATTCCTTTTATTCCAGTATTGTCCAGTTAATGGGATGCCTATTTCTCTATCTATCTATCTATCTATCTATCTATCTATCTATCTTACAAATGCAATTTCAAAAAGTATTTTATTTTGCTTCTGACACAAAATAACATGGACTGAAAAAAGAAATATTTCCTTACCCAAGCTTCCTGTATATTGAGGGGAGCATTAAAAATATGATAGAAAAAGAGAAACGTTTAAGTAAAAAGAAAATTTCACATTGTCCCTGATGTGCACATACAAGCCACACTAAAGGAATAAGTAAACAAAGAAACATCCCTCTTCCCATACAATACACTGCTACCCTATTAGCTGTATATACTTTGCTGTTTTTAAAAAAGGGTCTTCCTAATTAGAGGGTGAGGAAAGTAGGATGAGACTGTTTTACTGTTTTAATGATGGCTTATGCATTGTTACTTATGCTTTTATGTTTAATTGTGGTTTTAATTACTGTAATTTGTTATGTAATGGCTTTGTAACAGGGCCCATTGTAAGCCGTCCTGAGTCCCCCTTCTGGGGTTGAGAAGGACGGGATAGAAATGCGAGAAATAAATAAATAAATAAATAAATAAATAAATAAAAGTAATCCCTTAGCACTCTAAGTGCTACTTGTTGTTTGTTACAACTGACCAACTACTGAGAATGTATTTTGTTGTCCAGACTATTTGACAAACCACATTTCCACCTACAAACCCGCTTGGACACTATGATCATCGAAGAAGGTCCTCCTCTCGGTCCCACACCCGTCTCAAGCACGGCTGGTAGGAATGAGAGAGGGGGCCTTCTCCGTGGTTGCTCCTTTCCTCTGGAACTCCCTCTCTAAAGAAATCAGAGCAGCCTCTTCACTCATCTCCTTTAAGAAACAACTAAAAACCTACATTTGCACGCTAGCATATGGAGAAGAAGATGAGTAGTTTACCTTTTTATTTTATATCATCTGATGATATCGACAACGGTCTCCCCTAATTTATTGAGGAGTTATATTTTTACACAGATTTTAACTGTTCAATGTGTTATTTATTATGCCTTATTGATGCATTTGCTTTAGTTTAGATGTTTAATTGTTTATTTTAACTGTCTGTTTTAATGGTTTATTGTGTCATTGTGTTTAATTTGAGTATTTTTAACTGTTTATTTTAATGTTTTATTTTGTTACTTAATGGCATTGAATGTTTGCAATTTTTGCCTTTTCGCCTTTGGAAGCTACCTTGAGTCCCCTCGGGGAGAGAGGGTGAGTTAAAAAAAACTCTTATTCTTATTATTATCATTATTATTATTTTGTTTAAATAAATTATTCTGGCATTTTGCTTCAATTCTTTTATTCAATATGACAGCAATCCTCATCTGAAACTTTTAAGGAAAAGTCTGGGACTTCAATCCTATCAATAAATAACTAATTAGCTATCTACCAATTCAGTTAGAAAATCCATTGTAAGGAGATAGGGAGATAAATTGTGCAGATACAGAAAATGCAGTGGAGCTTTCCTTGGTCCCTGTTTCCTGTCCATTCTTTATAGAGATGCAATTGTCCATTATGTCACTCTTTAAAGGAAATAGTGATTTTCGCAATTTATCACCGTAAGAAAATCTTCAAAAACTACATAGGCTGTGAAGCCCTTTCAGAATTTGAGACTTATTCAGAGCAAAATTAATAATGTTGTGATTTTACATGGAAAACAGCATTTTCTGGAAAGAAAAATAACATTTCTCTCAGGAATACTGTATTCTGAACAGAAAAGGCTATTGCCTGTGCAGAATGTTTTGTTTTCTATGTAAATAAACCACATGCCATTTTGACACAGAATATGTTGCCAAGTACGGCATTTCCTGTGTGGGAAACAGCTTTTTCTACACAAAACAACCATGTCAGACTTTTGTGCAGAGTAAGTTCCAAACTGCGAGAGTTCTTCTCATCAAAATTTGGTCTGTCTAAAAGAAGAAAAAGGCCATGGGTTTAACTTGGCCAAGACATCTGCTATGCATAGGCCAACTGTACTGCTGTCCTTAGATTCCTAAAATTTGCTCATTCCTTTCCTCAACATGTTGACAAGTATAGGAATTATGATTTATCAGCAAGTGGATCTCTGTAACGATTGCTTGGGAGGACATGTGTCTTAACATACACATTGAATCCCCTTCATCTCCTTGCATACTGCAGCTAATTCACACACAGTGTCCCAAATCCAGGATATGCAACAATAGTCTGTATATTTTTCATCCTACTGAGCCTAAGGTCACTTTATAAAAATCCTGGCAAGTGTTTAGCCTGAGGCAAGGTTGAAATGGCAGGATGATAAGAAAAATTCTCATGACATTCCCCACCACAAGTAATGGATTACATTCATGCTTGAGATTAGTCCAGAATGCCTTTCATACTCTAGTAGAGGGAAGAAATTTATCCAGCATTACATACATTACATACAAATTTATCCATGCATTACATGCAGATGTGACTTTCCGTTTCTGCATCTGTCTCCTTCTTTGCCCATATACTTTTTAGTTTTAGGCCTCTTTTAGACTCCACAATTATAACATGTTGATACTGCTTCAATTGCCACAGTGGTATCTTACAGCGTTCTGGAATTAGTAGCCACATTGTTGCTCTCTGGCAAGGAATTTAAATAACTCATGGAATTATCTGTTTTCAAATTCCATAGGATGGAACCATGGAGTTAAAGTGACAGCGGAATGCTATAATCGTGTTGTGTGAAAGTGAGCATGGAAAAATCCATCTTACCTTTTCTGTGTGTGGCCATTCGGCTTCTTGTCAGGAGGCAACTCGATGATAAGCACACAGGACTGAGCATGTTCAAAGCCTTCCTTGTTGTTTGGAGTTTTAGGGGAGCACTGGGTATCTAACATGAACACCTTCAAGAAACAAAAATGAACCAAGTCGCTTAGCACTGGGTTGATTTAGGAAGGTATAGAACCACAGAAACAGAGCACACAAATGGCATGCACAATGCCCCCCTTTTGTGTCTTCTATTCAACTGATCTTTTGTAGAAGCGTGTAGAAAATTGGGGCCTGGCCCAGAAAGCTGGAACCCAACCAAGGGCAACTCACACCTTAATTTTCCACCAGTGCCACAAGTGCAAGTGAATGTTGGTATCAGCTTTAGTGGCACTCTATGGATAAAAAGGAGGAAAACGAAAAAGAAACAAGGAAGACAAGAAGCAAGCAAAAATTGGGATAGGAATCAGAAAGCAAAAGAAAAGAGAAGAAGAAACAAAGTTTGCTTCGTGAGAGCGCACTCTGTGCTGCATAGGGCAACTTAGCCAGAAGAGCAGAATGACTTAGGGTAAATGATGCCCACCCTATAAACATCCATTAAGATTTCAGTGTAGGGACTACTACTACTACACTTTATTTATATTCCACCCTTCTCCCCTAGGGAACTCAGACATTTACATACACAAACATTTGATACCTACAACATTTACATACACAAACATTTGATACCTTTACAGTCGTACAATGAAACATACAAACAAAGGCAAAGCTTCTCCTTTCTGGAGGCGGTGCTCATCTCTGGTTCCAAGGAGGTGATTTTTCTCCATTTTCAAGCTGAGGAGTCTGAGTTGTCACCTCCTGGTCATGTGGCCTGCACAACTGCTCTTTGCATTTTTCCGCCAAAATGGTACATAATTATCTATTCATATCTGCATGTTTTCAAACTGCTAGGTTGGCAGGAGCTAAGGCTTAACAGACGGGAGTTCCCCCCATCTTGTGGATTTGAACTGCCAACCTTCTGGTCAGCAGTGCAGCAGCACAAGGGTTTAATCCATTGTGCCACAGCAGCCCGTTCATTTGGACACCTCCAGTAAAACCAAGACAGGTCTCGGTTTATAGTCCTGTCTGGATCGGCTCCCAGATGGGTTTAATTTAACCCACTTCCAATTGCTGCAGGAACGGAGCCATTTACCTGCTGGGCCATGGCCCGTATTCTCCAGTACTCTGCTTCAGCACTTGGGGAAAGGGAAGGAGCTGCCACTTTCACCTCGCAGGCATCACCACTAAGGTTTTCGGAGCCGCTGTGGAAATAGCCCAACAGATTCTATAAAGAAACATAAATATCAGATTATTTACTATGTTGAATTTACACTAACCATCAGAAAGGGTAGTTAAAAAGAAGGATGATAAGTAATATTGCATCAAATTATAAAGTGACATGTCTTTCACTTGTCTTTCAAGTTTTCCCCTATCCTCTCCAGTACATCCTGATGTATTTCTGTCAAGTTTTTCAAATTTTTTTAAATAAAAGGGATCACTGGTGTCTTTGATGTTCTTCTAAGTGGCAATCGATTGCTTCCATTTCAGTGGGCTCTATTTTGGGAACTCTTCTCCCAAAATAGGCTCAATAAGGCTGGATCTACACTGCATACAATGCAGTTTTAAAATGCAGATTAACTGCATTACACGGCCAGATGCTAAATTCTGAAACAGCATTATATGACAGTGTAGATCCTGCCTCACTTGGCTAACTCCTCTAAGCTTCAGACTTAAACCTAAAGTGGATTCACTGCTCCAGTGACATGGAGGCCACCAGACACCACTTTCAAATCTTGCAACAAATATGCATTAAAGTGGAGTTAACATCCCCATTGTTTGAAACCTGCTGTGTGAGATAGATTTAACACACAACACGCAAGCTCATGGCTTTGTGTTCCCAAAGCAAAGAAGACAAGCTGTTCTTCATGTGTCCCTAGCTTATTTCATCTCCAGCCTGCAATCCCATTTCATCCAAGCAAGGTACTATTTCGAATAAGCAATTTTGTCACTCAAGCAATCACTGTTGTATAAGTATGCTCATTAAATACACCACTCTATTTAAGACAATATTAACTGGCAATCCAGTGCATGTCATACCTTCACTGGCTCAAGAGTAGCTGAGAAAGCATCCTGTAATGCACAGCATGCTAGTCTCCACATTTCTTCTGTAAAAACAGGACCAGCTGTCACTAGCACATATCTGCAGAGGGGGAAAATAAACCCACAATAAAGCACATGAATTGCTGGTATCATCATTATTTTACTGCAGGATTGCAGAAGCTGATTCAACTCAACATCAAAATAGATTTTTATATAGATGTACATCTATGAGAAGACAAGATGGGTCCAAAAGAAACAGAGTTATATTTAGATTAAGATAGTCTCGAACAGTGTTTCTCAAACTCTGCTCCTTCAGTTGATTTGGATTTCAGCTCCCAGAAATCCCAACCAGCTTAAACAGCTGATAGGAATTATAGGAGCTGAAGTCCAAAACATGTGGTGGAGAACAGTGTGAGAAACACTGGTTTAGGAGATTAATAAGTCTCTTCTTATTTGTACTTTTTGAAATGTCTTAGTGAGGAACTAATCCATTTTTGCCATGATGGACTGTACGGGTTTGAAGAACAGAAGTAATGTCTACACTTGCAGTTCAACTAGAGACTTTTTGAGTAGACAATGACATATGTTGTCTATTTTTTCCAAAGTTCAATATGTGCCAGGGCAAATAAAAATGTATTTGCAAGAGCTTACTGCCATAATTATTCTAGAGATAATTATTTTTAGCTTGAGGTAAATTGTAACTTCTTCAGTTTTATATTATGTCCAATCAACTGACCTCCTGAATTGAAATCCAAATTACCTGATGCAGGAACAGCCGACTCTTGAGATGCTTTCAGTGGGTTCTGCTACGCAAGCGACTAGTAACTTGAACAGGTCTTTGAGCATGGTGTTGATCATATTCTCATAGCCAATATCTAAAAAGAGTAAGATTTGGCTTCAACTCTTGTGTAAGAAAATTACAATGCAAAGGAACAATGATTCACTTGGGTTTTTTTTTTGTTAAATCCTAGAACAGATTCTTGTAGGCAGAGTTCAGGGGTACAAGACCCCATGAAATCTGAAAATCATGAAATAAAAAAACCTAAGAGAACTCATCTCCAGGAATCTTTAGGTCCTCCAGGGCAACTCTATGGTCAAGTTCACCCATAGTCAAATCTTCAAAAGATAAATCCACAAATGTGGAGGGCCAACTATGCTCTTACTATAACTATATCATTCTTTCAATGATCATCGGTGTATTCACACATACAAATATAAATATGAAAAACTTGTTTTTGGATGATGGTGTTCTTTGATAAAGAACCTTGCTTGCTTTTGTTCTCTGACCCAACTAGAAACTGGGAAACACTCCTCTTCTCAAATGATAATGAGAAATATACCCAAAATTCCAAATTGCTACCAGTTTTATAGTTTGATGACATATGGTAATGGGGGAGGGGGTGCCGAGAATTTTCTAACATATTCAGATACAATTTTGTTATACTGCAGAATACAGTCATGGTTTGATTGATTTGGTTTCATTTTAGTAAAATCTATGCTGCTGTGTGCTTTATATTCACAGGTGATTTGAGTTATGGCCCTGGATGGGAATTTTTAAAAAAATGGAAAATAAAAAAGTTCTCTTGCACATGTACAGAGCAGAGCAGCTGTCTCTATGTCATTGTCCATATAATGTATACATGTTATTAAAAGGCATCTCTAAAAAGCCCTTCATGACCTCCAGGGGGACATTGGAAAAAATGCAGCTTTCCTATCTCCTCAGACCGATTCTGGAGAAAACATTTAATTTTGGAATTGGAAGTGATAGAAATCACTTCCACAGAGTGCTTTTTTCAAGCAGATCATATAGGACCTGCCCTCATACTAAAGCCTTAAAACATTTTATAATTGTGTGTGTAAAGTCTGTGCACTCCTTTGATACAGAGGCAAGTGCTATGGATATCCTTAAGGTATTCAACTTCAATAATGGATCTAATTCCATTATTGGATACGAGGGCAATTTGTATCTTTGAAATCTAAATATAATGGAGTGCAACATGAGTAGATCTTTCAATTTTCTTCAAATCTGTAATAGTAAATTCAAAGTGTAGGAATCAAGCTGAATTGTACAAATATGCACACACATGGTTACTGTTTATCTGACAAGCATACATATCGGATGACATTTTGCATCTGTGTATTACTCTGTAAGCACAATTCTATACCCTTCTGAATTCTTCAACTGCTCTCAAGCCCTCACAAGGATTTCTCTAGTTCTATCTTCCAATGGGAAAGGGAGGTGGGATGGCAAGGTGATTCAGGGCATGGAGAAGCAGGTAGTCTCTGGTAGGTTGTTGGAAAAGGGAAAAAACAAGGGTGCCCTCTGAGTGGAATGCAGACATTTTTCCTTTCTCAATAACCCAGACCAGCCAGATCACTTTGTCTGAATTGCCTTATCCTTTCCTTTCCTTACACCTGATAAGCAGCAGCTTGAAGCTTCAATGCATAGGAGGTTTTTGGACAGAGAACAAGGGCAAGACAATAGTTCTTTCTGCTCAGTCCAAAAATGGATTCATGTGGCCTGTAAACTTATATGTGAGTAAATCAGTAACAGGGTGCTCCCAAATATACTTCTATCTATGTATCTACCTGCCTCTGCATCCATCCATGCACACACACACACACACACACACACACACACACACACACACACACACACAAATACACATGACGTCTCATTTAATACAGCCCCTTTTCTTAGAACAATAAACCAGGCTCCTCAGAATTCGGTTTTTCTCACCTGAATGTATGAAACTTTGAATGTGCTCCACTACTAGCTCACAGGAAAGACCAATGGCATGCTTGAAATTTGCAGATGCTGCATCCCAGTAAGAATGATCACTCTGGCTGCGATGAAGCCAAAGGGACATTGTAGGGAGCAGAAGATGTACAACTGCATACATACCAAATCCAGGACCTGTAAGGAATAATAACAAAGGCAAGATAAAAACATTTTTCACTTCACATACAGGCTCAGGAAACTCACAAATTAAGATGTAAGCTAGTTAAGTCCCTTTCTTCCCAACTGGCCAGGGGGGAAATGGACTGCAAAAAGAATGCCATTTGCAACAGAATTTTATTATTATTATTATTATTATTATTAATAATAATAATAATAATAATAATAATAATAAACAACTTTATTTATACCCTGCCACCATATCCCCAAAGGGGACTTGGAGCGGCTAACATGAGGCCAAGCCCAAAAATAATACAGCAAAGTTAAACACAAAATAACAGAAAAAATTACATCACAACAAAATACATGAAGTAACAAAATAAAATAAACAGTGCAAAACAACATAATAAAAATCAAACACAAAGGGCGGGCCAAATGTGCAAGATAAAATGTTAAAATGTTAAAACATTAAAACCCTGGGTGAGATAGGAATAGAAAAGTGTATTTATGAGGAAGGAGCCCAAGAAGGAAGAGCAGTGGGGTATGGACTTCATTAAGGGCAGGGGAAAGTGCACCACGAGGACAACTATAGGTGGAGACAAACAAAAAGGGTTAAATGGTCACTCTTCAAAGGCACATTACTTTGAACTTTGTGCTGAGCATTTTTGTGTGTGTTACCAATTAATAGAAGTTCTCCATACTACATTTCCCCATAAGACATAGGAATTCATATATGCATAATACCTGGATGTTTAGCAGAAGGCCCTCAATGCAGATACCATTCTTAACACAGAAGTGTGCACTTTCCTACCCACATTTAGGACACATAAAATAAGAAGTGTCCCTTTATTGTCAACATAGAAATGGCTATTGGTGCAAAATGACTACTGTTAAGCTACCCAATGCATGACAATTCAGAGCTGCTGAGTCCGTTGAAAAGCTCTATATATTTGAATCTTGTCTTCCTGTCTGGTTGTGTATTTGTATCCTGCCTCCCTGTGAGATATCTTACCACAAAATAAATAGATTCTGAAAGAGAAAACAAAATATAACAATACTCAAACTGTCAAACAATTTCAAAAGCATATATAATGTAGAATCCATTAGATCCAATTTCCTGCTCAATGAAGGATCTCCAGCTAGAGCTTCTTGTTGAAAATAGAAATCTCACCACATCTCTAGGCAATTAGTTTCACTGCCAAACAGCTCTCATTGCCAAGAGATCCCTTCTAATGCTCAAATGAAATCAATCCTTCTGTAATTTAAAGCCATTAGATTCGTTTCTACCTTCAGAGGCATCAGAGAACAAGTCTCTTGTATCTATATCCATACTCTGTGACTGTCCTTGTATTTAAAGAGTGCAGTCATGCCACCCCTTAGTCTATTCAGCAAGGAAATCATGCCCAGCTCTTTCAACCTCTCATATATTTGTTCTCTACACCTGTTGTCATTGTTGCTGCCCTTCTCTGAACCTCCTACAACATGTTCTTAAATTGAGGTGCTCAGAACAGAATACATTCTTCACATGAAGCTTAACTAGCGCAGACTATGATAGGATTATTCTATCTATCTATCTATCTATCTATCTATCTATCTATCTATCTATCTATCTGATAGAGATAGATATATATTTTCAATCCCCCCCCCCCCACATATACACACACACATGTATATATGTTCAAACCACAGAGTTGTTCTATGGCTGCAAAACCTTCCCTTTTGGGTGAGGATGGTGCTATTTTGGTTACAAGAAGTAGGTACTGTGGGCACAGAACAGATACTCAGTGAGAATAGGTGCTGTTTGGTAGTTTTTCAAACTGATCCATCAATTAGATTCCCAAAGAAAAAACGGAGAAAGACATAAAAAAACTTGTAACAGTAAAAACTTTGGCAGCTCTGAGCAAAGGCAGAAATATTATGTTTTCAGCATAATATAGCCTGTAAACTAAGTCAATTACCAGGTGTTTTGGTAATATCCCTCAAGAGTTCAAAAAGCAAATCCAAAGTGGGAGGTTGATGCTGACGAGGGCAGTTGGATATAGCAGTTGTCAGCTCTTCCAGCAGAATAATCCAGACATTGATAAGGCCTAGGAAGACAAAACCTCATGTCAAAAAAAAAATTGTATTACAGTAGGCGCTTTCTAATTTTTTTTCTATATTTCCAGTTCTTTTCTAGTAGAGACCAGTGGTTCTGATATTACTGAAATTGCAAATCCACGCTAGGTTTGGCTTTAAGTGAACTATCCAAGATGATGGGCCTTTTTAGGGACTAGCACTCAGGAACCTGAAAACTTCCTTTACAGCTCTCAAGCCTGGAATGAATTCATTATTCAAATGACTTTGGAGCCATCATCCACCACTACAGTTCAATCTGTTGCATTAATGGCTGTAAGTTCTCTCAGTACTGCTTGGCTGATCACTCAGTCCTTTCTTTTTGGCTTTCAGTAAAGACTGACTAAGATACTCAACAGATGCAGATTTTGTAGGAGAAAATGCAGATTCAATTTCTGATGACTAAACTGGCCTTCCTATGTTCTCTTTTCACTGTAATCTAAAATTCAGATGTCAAGCTAATTCACTGCTCTCATCAAGTTTCTACATTATCTTCCTATGGTTTTCTTTGGCTTTGATCTAACAGAGTAGTTAAAGGTTAGCCCTTTAAAAGTTAGAAACCCCCCACTCAGTTATTTGGTGGTGGGAGGAGGAGAGACACAGTCTCACCTTCTCCTCCCAAAGTGCTGTTCAGTAGGATTTAAATGTATTTTTTTAAACAGACAGTTCCAAGCTCATGCTGCTTGACTAGGTTGATGATCAGCATGGAATTTCTACTTGCACCTGTCAGCATGTAATGTTATATAAGATGAAAATTGCTTATAGCTTAAACTATTCAAAAATGCATGGTTTAAAATATAGAGATGTACAGTATTGGTAGAGTGTCACGTTTGGAGGTTCCTATGCTGGCTGGATGAAGGAGTGATAAGAAAGGAATGTACTTCTTGCAGTGTACCGAGATGTGAGTGGACATGATTGAAGGTTGTCTTGTATATTTGTGTAAATAAAAGATAATGTGCAGCTTTCAATGAAAGCTTAATTAAGGAGTCTGGTGTCTTTACCAGTTCGTGCCTTCAAGTAGAAACTTGGAAGGTCAAAGCAGTTGGGATAAGGAAGGTGATTTATCTCAATTTACCAACAGCATTTCTAATACATATGTAGATGGGAATGAAAAGAAATGGACATATATATGGCCATCTACTGGACCAAGGCAATATATTCATAGTGCAATCAGATAAATAAATATCATAAAGAAACTTCAAGAGACTAAACATTTGCACAGACACTGAGACTTGTTTTAAAACTTTGTTATCTTGGCTAAGCCACAGAAATACTGCCATATAAAGTCCATGAATGGAGACTGAAAAGAATAAAGTTGATCAAGGATAGAATTATAATCTATACCAGAAATATTCTTAATTTTGTTTTAGAAAGGAAGTATCCAAAGTTACCCACTATGGCAAGAACACACCTCACATACTCTGGAAGCACAATTCTACATCCCTCTACATTCTTTACCTGCTCTCAAGCAGGACTACTAAATGGTAAGCTACTACCATACTGTTATGAATTAGACACATGCACCACTACAATAAGGGTTAAATGAATGCTTAACTGATTTATCTTAGGACACAGGGTGACAATAAATAGCAGAGCCCTTCCCCCAACCTCCAACAGAAGTTGTCAGCAGATTTTTCCATCAAATATACATTCATTTCTGCTTCTGCTGTCTAGGTCTGAATCACATAATTGAGGCGTCCTAAAAGGTCCTCTAGGTTGAGTTCCTTGTTGTTTTTGTTGTTGTTGTGTGCCCTCAAGTTCTTTCCAATGTATGCAACTCCAATTTTCATTCAATATAACCCAATTTTCAGAAGCTGTGATTGTGCAAGTTAATATAGGTTTCTAATGCAGAAATATCCTTCTAAAGCATCTGTAAGAACCATGAAGAATGTAAATGGAGGTGCTTATGCCTTCTTTTTCCTTTGTCATTATTTTAGGACTCTGCACTCTTAAGAAGCAAAGAAGTACAACCAGGCTGAAAATGTTGTTTTACTCTTAAATTTTGGCTCTTCTGTTCTAGGAAATTTATTTTTATGACATGTAACAGTGATGTCAGATCGCAAACAGTGCTTCCTAGAGCTAAATATATTCTTGTTGAAGGGAAAGAAACAAAACAAAACCACTCATCCTATCTTTGAAGCCATATTCAGGAACTGCTATTAAAGTCTATTGCCTCCATAGTTTACATAGGTCTACATGATGGGTTTGCTTACCTGTGTCATCATCAAACTCAGAAAGGACACACTCAATGCCATCGTCACTGCTTGCAGAGCGTTCTTGTATTTTTTGTGGCAAGTTAGCGAGTTTCCCACTAAGAAAAATTGGCTTCAAAGGCATTTTGTAGATTTTGGCAAGCAACTAAAAAAGGAGCAAAAAGGATACAACTTGGTCTGGGCATATACACTGGCATCTCATCTTACTTGCAAGAGAGTTCCTAGGTTTCGTGTAGAATGTTTGTGCATTCCGAAAAAAACCTCTAGAATATTTTGAAATTTTAGCTGGTAAAGGCATGTGCTTACAAGGGATGTGCCTGCACTCTTAGGTGAGGCATCAATGCTGTAATCAGAAATGTGGGAGAGAAACCAGGAAAAGGGAGAAGCAATAATGTTCCTGGTTGCTAGAAGAAAGATCCCACCTTATTCCCATAAGTGTATGGCATGTGTTCAAGCATGAGATTCCACATATCTCTCCTTTGGTCATGTTGAGATGTTGTGTACATGTGAAGTCATGTGGTTTACTTGCTAGATGAATGCTGAAGAGGGGTGGCAGATGGATCTGTTGTGGTGAGTGTGGCAAACATGTGCTTGATTTGATCACTTTTCCTGCTGCAGATACCCCATGTTGGTGCTCAATCTCTGAAAGGTTCAATATCAGATGAGTTCCTGTGGATCAAGCGCTGCCCTGATGCTTACTGAATGTATACAAAGCATGGGTTGAAAACTTAGACAGTATCTACAAATGGACAATGTGGTAAACATGCACCTGCTTGGCCATCCCCTCTAAATACACATTGCCTCTAGAAAACCTGGTTCTCCCATGGCAGAAAATGGAGAAACCAAGTGGGCACTAGCAGCTATCGCTCTGTTTTGTTTCTTCAGTCAAGGGAACAATGTATAACAGTGGGGCTACTGTGTTTGCACACTCCCACTGTCTCTCATCTGGCAGCAGAAAGAACATAGAAATGCATCTGTATTCCTTGTGGCCAGAGAGCGAAAGCCTACGCTGCCAGAACAACAATGCTTTGCTGTGTGTGTCAGCAGAACACTGGGCCTCCATTATGTCAGAAAAAGAAGGAAAGCAAGAGAGAAAGAGTTAGTAGGAGAGAGAGAGAGAGAGAGAAGCCACAACCTCCTCAGGGATTAACATTACACCTTTTCACAAATGTCTGCTATTCATTAGCTCTCTATTATGGCAAGAGAAAAGAAGGCGGGAAGGAGAGAGAGAAGAAATGGGTAACAATGGGAGCAGAGGGGGGATACAAGTCAAGGATGCACTATGATGCACGGTCCAGGAATCACGGCACTTCCTGTAATGACTTTTCTAAAGGCAGGTGGTCTTTTGTAAAGCTAATGGACATTAAATCACCACTAAAGGGAAAGTCATTTAAAATAAGTCAGAGGATAACTGTATTCAGTGTGTGTGTCCCCTCTTCAGTTTCTATGGGGACTCTAGTAAATGAAACTGGAAAATACAAGAGTAGTGTTTGGCACCTGATAGCAATACCTTTGCTAAATTAAAAGTCCTGGCTTTACAATGTTGCTGGACATGCAACACTTCAAAAGTTACTTTTAAGATTATTGAATATAATATATATGTTGAAGCCATCTGTAACTGAGCAGTGCAAAAATGATCCACATTATTCTAGTTATGGATACTTTTGCACGTCATCATGCACATTTTTCTTAAAAGAAACTTAGGATGTAGATTGGGGAGGGAATACCCATTTCAACCATATGTCCTAAGAGTTTCGACCACCATTGTAATTATGTAACTATCCCATCATTATATACATTTTCAATAATAGAATCATAGAGTTGGAAGAGATCTCGTGGGCAAAACTAACATCTAACTCACATAGTTTTCATAAGTGAACCTAACAACTTCTTTTAAGTCTAGCATTCATCCCTTGAAACTGCATCTCTGTGTACTTCTCCACACTACAGTGCCATTTCATTTACTGAAGACTAACTTGCAGCTGCTGTTTCATGTGACTCTGATAGGATGGCAATCAACTGAGCCTAAATCATCACAAGTAACAACAACATTTATTCTACACACCTGAGAACAGCGCCTGAGGTAATCGAGAGCAGGAAGGCACAAGTCTGTAGACATGGAACCTGATCCTGATACACAATCGCCAATCTCTTTGCAATCTGCTTCCCCTGGCAGGGGAGAAATACAGCAAAATATATAAAACATAACACTGTGTTGTTTTAAGCAGGGTGGCTAATGTGAGTTGGATTGCATAATGAGAAATCCAGAGAGAATTACTTATTCACAAAACACATGTGTTAGCCATGAGGGTAAAAGGAGAGGGGAGGTGTGGAAAGGCAAAGATATGGAAGCAGAAATCTATAATAACCCTTATTTGTATTCATGGATTACATACTATGGCTGGGAACGGCTGGCAACTTACATTAGTGGGGATAAGAAATGCAACACTTTCTTAATCTTAAAGTTGAATCTTCAGCAATCATTAAAAAAACACATGAAACTGCAGATATTGACAATGCATTAAGAAACAGAGGGTGCCTGGCTCTGCTTACTGCAGAGATTGGGAAGGTGATAATATAAGGCAGGACATTCTCTATAGTAGTACCATGTTTAATGAAAGATGGCACTACATCTATTCTTGCTGTTGCAAGTGTTTCAGTGAGGGCTGGATAATTTTTTTTCTCAAGCATTTGGAGGCTGAGGTATAATGCCATTAGGTGCGGTTCTAGATATTTAGCATGCTATGATTTTATTTTTAATATAAGTATTGTTCTTAAGGATATGATGTTTGTATTATTATTTTATGTTGTTATCCCACCTTTAGAACTGGAAAAAGGGTGCATTACAAAATGCTGGATAAATGAATGGATATTAATCCCTCCATGCTGAGTACCACCGATTGATTTGCAGTGAAATGCAATATCATATTATGTACATTACCCAGTCCTTTGACAAACTTCATAAGGCACATGATGTAGCTGGTGGCTGCATTTGCAAAAACCTGGATGTTGTCCGTATTTAGAAATGCTTCAAAGACATCAAATACAGGGGCCTGGCATTTTCCTGAGGAAACAACAAGTTCATTAATTGATGTAGGTGCACATCAGGCAATCTGGCTAGGACTTCTGGAAAATACAGCATTTTCGGTATTGCTTCACATTAATGTGTAGTTCTATCCACCGTATTTACTCAGAAAAAGGTCCCATTGTTTAGTGGGGTTATTCTCAGGGAGCTGTATGTAGTATATTAATCTCAAGGCAGAATGTCCAGATTTCTGGGTCTCGTGCTGTAATAAAATTAAGTGGTTGACCAGACTCGTAGCCAGGATTTTGATTCCGGGGGGGGGGGGGGGGGGGGGGGGGGGCTGAGTCTGAGTGAAAGAGGTCTACCCTAGCAAACCTTTTGTATCGTTACCCCAATACCCCCATGCATATGAGATATATTGAGCATGGTGATCAGATCATGATATGAATAAACATAACAGTTTAAATAATGTACCAGTAAGGCCTTTTCGCAGACCACCATGAGAATTTGGGGGGGGGGGGCTGAAGCCCCCCCCCCGCTACATGCCTGTGATTGACCAAACAGAATATTTTCATGCCGAACAGAACTATGCTAGGTCACAGTTAAAGATAGAGGTTAAAAGGTCAGCTTTTCCACACATCGATTTGCTTTTCTCAACAGGTGGGAGATAGCAGATTCACCTCCCACACCATGCCATCAAAATCTGATTTTGACCCTTGAGGAATCCCTTGGAGCATGTTTTCAGGATAAGTGGAACACTCTAGTTAGGCTCTACCTGACGAACAAAGCACGGATGGACTTTGATTGGCATTGATGCTGGACTTAGTGCAGACACCCGATCAATGCTCATCATGGTCCCATGGATTTTGTAGGGTTTTTAAAGACAAGGGATATTCAGAGGTATTTTTTGCCAATTCCTTCCACTGAGAAAAGTCTATAGCTTCGCACCCATGATGTTGACTTCTGCCCATTGATCCTTATCTGACTGGATCTGGGTCAGTATACAGATTGCCCAGCCACGGATGCCCCTGCTTAGCTTCCAAGATCATGTGTGTTCTGGTGCCTTTATCATGCTAAAAATTGCCAGTTACCTTCCAAAAATTAAGTATTAAAAGGTAACTGGCAGTTTGTAACTTAACAATGGCACCAGTTAAAGGCATCAGCAAGCTCTTAAAAAATAGATTTCTGGTAATCTTTCAAAAATAAGTCATAAAATTCCACAATCCGAAGCAAAAGAATATAATTTAAAACCTTTTACCCATTGAATATTCTCCAACAAGATAATCCTTAACCTCTGATTTGCTGCTACAACGCACAGTTTCTAGTGCGCTGAACAGTGGTCTCCAGCCTGACTGGATCCGAGTAGAGCACACTTCCACCAGTTCACCTATCGACGTGACCACCTGATGCAAGCAGAGAACAAAATGGTTTAAAGAAGAAAACAGCTAGCAGAACGAAAATGCTGGGTTTGATAAGTACTTAGAATTAACTGACTCTCTCTTGAAAAATAACAGCTAATAAATACTGTATCTACTCAAATCTAATGCTCACCTGTTTTGAATAAATTCCCTTCCCAAAATTAGTGCACATTAGATTTGTGTGATATGGTAATCTTAGTGCAGAAAGAAAGCAAAAGGGGAAGCTACTTCAGGAGCTGTACCTGGAGCATCTCTTTGAGGGACATCATCTCTAATTTAATTGCCACAGCTCAAGGATATGCAATCCTAGGATTTGTAGTTTGGTCAGCCACCAACATTCCTCAGCAGAGAAAGTTCAAGACCTTACAAGGCTACACGATTTCATATGATTGAGCCAGGGCAGTTAAAGTAGATTCATTCTGCAGCACAAGTTTTATTTTCCATTGCTGAAAACTTTGGTGTTCGAAAACTTTTGTTAGAATGGCATGCAGCCATTGTAATGTGCACCTTTTTGGGATAAATTACAAAGAGTGCACTTTTTGCCATTGCACACTGCATTCGGTAGCAAATACTTTTTTGGTTTCAGGATTTTGAAAATTGAGGTGCACATTAGATTCGATGGGACATTAGACTCGAGAAAACATGGGTAATTCTTTTTACATCAGTAGTACAATGTTTGGCATAACTGGTAATATTGATTGTGGCTTCAATATATTGATTTTTTAAGGGTAAGGGAGGGCATCTTAGACTTCTTTAAGTTATCTATTTGGCCTTTTAGAAACCCAAACAAATAAAGGGCAACATGAATAAAACGCATTCAGCAGAAACTGTGTTGGCCATGCAGCAAAATGCAGAATCCAGAAAACAGTGATTGCTCATTGAATCAACTAAAAAGCACAAAATACATAATGCAAGCTTTTGAAGCTACTCTGCCAGCATGGATATCCCTCCAGACCATCTTAATTGACAACAGAAGTAAGATCTGAGATAAACTGTAGGACTGTGACGTTAATATCATTACTCTTCTTCCCCTGTATGAGTCTAAACATCTTTGCTTGGTAAAGGAGCAAATGAAGCTTCAAAAGTTCGCATGATGCAATTTTGTTGGTCCAGTAAAATACCCTAATCGATACCAAATCCATGCATACTAGAATAACATATTAAAATGGTGCTCCTTATATAAAATATATAAAATGGCAAAATCAAAGTTTGTTTTTTCGAATTTGTTTTTGGAATTATTTTCAAACTATGGATGTTGGAATTCATGGATACGGAATCCATGGATATGGAGGGTCAACTGTACATTGTACAACTGCATATGGAGTAGTTACAGATCTGTAATTCTAACATACAAATATATAACTGCACATAGGATACCAAACAGCATAAATAAAAATAATACTCCCAACTACATAAACAAATGAGTGCTGTACAGAATCCCCTCTTGTCACTCTCCATTAACATTGTCACCACTAGGCATGTAATAAACATGAATCATTTTGTATTTTAGAAATAAACATGAAGGCAAATCTTCTTTAACAAAATCAAGAACCAACTTGCCTGATCTTGGACATCCTCATCACAAAGTTCCAACTGCATGATGCGCTCAAAGGGGCGGAACAGAGCCTCGTTAAAATGGAAATGGGGAGGCTCATTCCAATCCATCAGAACCTCAGTCAGGATGTCATGGATGAAAGAGACAGCCTTCCGAGAAACATGCCTTTCTTTGTGACAGGCAGCCTTCAAGAGAGGAGAACAACCAGGATTTCAAGTGTGTAACAAATACACTTAATAAAAGAAATTGGGAGGAACTGGATAGGGGTAACAGACAGCCTCATGAGGTCTATCCTCAGCCACTACCAAAACATGTTTTTTATATTTTCATTGTATTAGATCACACATTTCTCCTAAAATGAGACCCAATATATAATATCTGTTCTAATTTAATTTCTTATCCCCCGAACCCTTTAATTTTAAAATTCTTTAAAGACAGTATTTACACATTTTGAAATGACTGTAACCCTGAAGTTTATGGAGCAGAGCAGAAAACAAATCAAATTCTGTAAACAAACTGACAGATAAACATTCCTAAAAGAAATAAATAAAACTTGATTTATGAGGATATTTCTGCCAGTCTGTGGTTGTCTCTAGGTTTTTTGGATTTCAATGTACAACAGCACTAAGATGCCCAGTGTTTTAAAATTTTAACCTATTACATTTGGCCCTGCCATAGTTTTTAAATTTCTTGTTTGTTATTGCTTATATGTTTAGTTATATTATTTATACTGTTATTTGCTTGCTTGTTTTGTTGATGTATTGTTGTATTTGACAGGCTTGGCCTCATGTAAGCCGCCCCGAGTCCCTTCGGGGAGATGGTGGCAGGGTATAATTAAGTTTTTATAACAACAACAACAACAACAACAACAACAACAACAACATGCATGACCAACAGTCATTTCAATACTTTAGTAAGTCACCAGCATAGTAAAAGCTGCTTTAAAGTATAATCTTTCATATAGTGTTTCATTCACTTGTACATAGTTTTAAAAGCTTAAGATTATCCTCTGCCACCTGAAATTAGACATATAGTATTTCTTTCCTACCTTCTAGTTAACTGCTTTACATTTTTAAGTGCATGCTTCCATTTGTTTTAATATTCTGAACAATTTAATTCTCCTTTAATGTTCACCTTTTGTATGCTTTTAATGCATTTCAATTGCTTCAAATTAAAAGTGGTCTTGAACCCCAATTTTTGGGGAAGGGGAGATAAAAATACAGACAACAACAGCAGCAACCACCACCACCCCTCTTTCTCTCACTTCGACCAGATGAGGTGCCACCAGGTTCCAGCAGCGCATGAAATGAAGCAAAGGCCGAGATTTGCTCCTGACAATTCGAAGCATAGCTCCTCCCAGGCGAAACAAGTGGAGGGCACTTTTCCTGTCTTGGGTGGATTTTACTTCTCCTATCAGGGAAGAAAAAGAGCAGAATGACTGTTAATATCAAGCAGAGTTGGATAACTCTGAGAAGGGAACTATTTTTGTCTTTGTGCCCCTAGCAAGCCACACCAGCACTGTCTGTAGTTGAGTCTTAACTCACAAATCATCCTTGGCTGTGTGTGTGGAGGGGATGGTTGGGTAGGTTAAAGCAGTTTGGACATGGTTGAGGATGGGAGGAAAATGTAAGCAGATCACATAATTTTGAACTATTTGCATTATGTAAGGTGAAGGTGTTCTGCAGGGTTTAGGGGAGCCTGTAAAAAAAATGGGGGGGATTGGAGCACAGGAACCCTACCAGCTTCACTCTCCCTTCCCCATTATAAATAAAATATGAGTTCTCACTTAATCCTTTTCCCATGTCATACCTTCTTTGTTTTGGAAGCTTACCTGGCATTGCCAACGAGTAATCAACAGTGTCTGTAACGGAGTGAAAGAGCTGGGACTGAGAGGCTTTCTTCAGCTGATACAGGAAACCTCCCAATGCCATCAGATTCAGCTTGTCAACTGCATCTTCAAATAGCCTTAAGGTAAGAGGTAAAACATATAATTTTGCCTGATCAAGCCTTGCTTTTAAAATAAGTAGCTAGTAATCACTGTGCAGGAAGGAGGCACCAATGAGATACAACAAACACTCTGGGACAAGCTATATATATATATATATATATATATATATATATATATATATATAGATAGATAGATAGATAGATAGATAGATAGATAGAGCTTGTCCCAGTGTGTGTGTGTATACACACACACTCCATGTGCAATGATGTATGCCCTTGGCCACAAGAATAAAGCTGGTACAAACATAAAGCAAAGAAAGCTTAAGAAAAGTTGTGTGTGACCAGATGGAAAAGAAAAGGCCTGATCTGTGCCTATGGGTTTCATGCATCTCAATTCTGTTCTTGTACATCCAATAAAAAAGTTACAGAAAAGAAAATCCTGGGAGGAAAGGCTGTACGTGAAAATAACTCTACATACAGATATCATACAGAGTGCTTATTTCTTATAGTTGCAAAGAAAAAAACCCCAATGTATCATCATTTTTGAATACATGTGTTAGAGAAGGAGGGCCTCCATTGAACCTCCCAGCTCTACAATGATCTAAAGAAGTTTCTTCCTAGGTGCCGAGTTTGTGCACATGAGATAGCCGCTTTGAGTCTTCTTAGTGGAGAAAAGTGAGGTAATAAGCATAATAATAATACATAGGAATGATTATGAAAGAGGGAGGGGGTTGAATGTACACTTGCTTTTGGACATGTATGAAATTAATCAAGATTGTCGATGTTGCTTTTGAATGCCAACACAGTACAGTAGGATTCCCACTTTCATGGGAGTTGGAGCTGCATGTTCCCTAAAAAAGTAGGAAAAGCCCGAATTAAAAAATAAATAAATCTTCTACTGGACATTGATCATAGCAATCTACTGGAGGAATCTGAGATTTATAGATATATGTTCTCATTAAGAATCTCTAGGTTCTCTAACACAACTCTATGGTTAATTTCTGGTGCAAGCTGACCACAGACTTACTGATGCAAATGTATGGAAATTGTAAAGTTGTTGATGCCCATACCTTTCAGCTTGGGTTGAGAGGGTGAGGATGGCCTTAGCAGCACTGCTTCCACCCATCAGGCTCCCTCCACGGAAGTCAAAAGCTCTCCCTTTGCTGCCCTCTTTGATGAGCTCCTGAATGGAAACTGGCTGGATGATGGGAGTGTTCCTCAGACTTGGCTCTTCATCTTCAATCAATTCCTGGGAAGAGTCCGTAGGTGGACCATCTCCCTGTGGCCCACTAGAAGACTGCTGTGCCTGTGTAATGGTTACAGGAGCCTGAGATGTGCCATCGCTAAAATGGACATGTTCCAGAGTGCTGATGTACTCACAAACTCTGAAAACAAGAACAAAAACAATTGGCAATGAAAAAGAAGGGAGTTCTCCCAGTTTATTCACTGTATAGCTTTGTTGACTTGATACAAAACATGTTTTTTACAGATGCTCTACAGTAATCTTAAAGCTGCTTGAGTAAAAAGCAGGCAGACCAACATTGCGGTGAATAATCCAATTACAAACACTGAACACTAGCATCAGATGTACTTGCAGATAAGAATCGTATTAATGGGGAAAATAATATTTCCTCCATTGCTCTTCCATAGTTTCTTAACCCTCTGTGCATCATTTGCAAGATGTGGATAAAATTGCCAAAGGGAGAAAGGAGTCAAAATTGCTTGTCTGCACACCTAAATCTGCGTCCAATATATGTATATGTGAGTGTGCTCCCATACCCACAACTCTCATCTTGCACACACTCTTCTGTGTGTCTTTTGCTATATTACAATACTGTATTTTCTCAGGTATTTCAAAGGCTGCAGCAGAATTCTTTCAGACAGTTCAGGTATCTGGCTTTTAAGGTGGATTAGGAGCAGGGAGAAGGAGTCAGATTAGGAGACAGATCATAATTATATTGTTATAGTAACATCTATGTAGGATTTCAGCTAATATGTATTTGGTATTAATTTCTCCTCATATTCTCACCTAGCAGAGAAAGCATTGCAGGAGTTATTTGTTCTTGCTTGTGAGGACAACAAATACAAAAATGTACACCTTTCATGGAATCAACAAAGGCAAAACAAAAGCACTGAATCAGGCAATTTGTAATTAAAAGAATCTACTCAGCTCGTGAAAACAAGTTCACTTAGCTCAAACTGAAAATGAACAAGTATTTCTTTCTCCATACCTAAAGACATGTGGCCAGCAATCTTGATTGTGGCTTCCCATCTCCAGTCCCACACTGAGAATGGCATCCATGCACAAAACATGAGCTGTGTGTAGGCAGACACCTTGCACTTTCCCCATCTGCTCCAGTTTTTGCTCCATTTTCTGTTTTACTGTAACATTATAAATATTCGATAGAAAGAATCTGTTGTTATTGCTCAAGGAATAATCTCAAGACTTCAGTGTTGGTGACAAAATATACACACTTTGAATGTATTTTAACCATTTTAAATATGTTGTATTTTTAAATTATTTTAAGGTGAATTTGTTGTTTTGAGGGTAAGGGGGACTCAAGGTGGGCTCAAGGTGGGCAGCAGGGGAATTCAAGGTGGCCATTGTAAGCCACCTTGAGTCCCCCTGCTGGGGTAGAGAAAGGTGGGATATAGATATGGTTAATAATAATAATAATAACAATAATAATAATTATTATTATTGGCACCGAGACTCCCTTTCACCCCTTCCCGTAAAAGGCTGGGCAAGCCCATTAGATTCAGCAGCCTACATGTTCAGTCAAGGTTGTCAAATTATGAGGGTAGAAGTGAAACAACTTGTGGCGTCCTCCACCATTACCAGCTGCAGTTCATTTCTTTACTTGGAAGTTTAGGGATGACACCATCCTGAATGCCCAAGATAGCTGGCTTGGGAACTCTTTGAAATGTGGTCCAAAAAAGCAACTTCCCAAAATTCTGAATAAGTGCATGCACAATTGCTATCCTTGTTTTTTTATCTGATAGTGCTTTTTCTTCTTTCAATCCTACAAAGGTGTAACTTCTTTGACAAGGACACCATTATTTTCAGTAGTTGTGATGTGTCTTCAAGTCAACTCTGATGTATGACTTATCTCAAGGTTTATTCAGATAAAGTTTTCCATTGCTTGTCTTTCAGGTTGGGTAAGTATGACTTTCCCAGTGTCCTCCAGTGTGGGTTTTCATGGCTGAGTAAGGATTTGAACCCTGGTGTTCTAGGCGAATGCTCATACTACTATGGTATGTGGACTCTGCACTGGTTCACAGAAAGTTTGGTCATCCACAGACCCAAAGCAAATAATTTTATGAGGATCCTAAGTAGTTATGATACATACCTAGCTAGGTAAAATAGCCAACACAGAACCTATATTCAGAGTTGCACAATAAATTAAGGAGATGTATTGATGGATTGTACCTTGAGCTATGGCATCACTGGGCTCTTGGGTCTCCTTTTCCTCTTTCTCCTCTTGAACACATGAAGCTGCAGCCATCTGAGCAAGGGCAGATGCACAATTGGCAGCAACTCCTATAAGAAGAAACATGCCACCTTTGTTGTTGTTTTAATGCAGAATTTTCATGAATCCCACTAGCTAAATTTTGAAAGTATGTAGGGAAACCCTCATAGTTATTACAGACAAATTCACCCAGAAATGTAGCCTATCTTGATTAATGCATCGTACCTAAAGCACAGCTAAGCCGGGCTGCTTTTCTCAATCCATCCAGACTCATGCAGATGGCGTCTTTCTCCTTTTGGTTCTGTTCCTTGACTCCTTCGGTTCCAAGAATGAATGCTAACCCTTTGGAGCTCCCTGCCATGCGGCCAGTCAGAGGTGTTGATAATGTATCAATCAAATTCTTCCAACAACCAATAAGAAGGTATCGGGCAAAGGACATACCTGAAGCAACAGAAAGGGGAAATAGATATTGTTTCTTTGAGTCACAGGAGTTGCATACAAAGAACTCTTCTACGTCAACACAAAGCACTGGTTAGAACCTGTAAAGCCTTGTGTGGCTTACGTCCAGACTACCTGACAGAGTGCAATTATCTATTTGAGACTGTCAGGGCCCTGAGACCCTCAGGAGAAGCCCTTCTTTTAGTACCATGATCTTTATGGGCACGGCTGGTGAGGTCATCCCACAGGACATGCTTGAAAGCTGCCCCTAGGATCCCTCCGTAGAGAAGCTAGAATGAGCCTCCTTTCATCAATAGTTTTTGTTATTCCAACAGGATTTTGAAACTGACATTTTTTTAAAAGAGAGAGCTTTTAAGAGGATGCTGTATTATTTTAAATAATACTGTTTTAAGTCATTTTAATTATCTCTCTATGTGTATTTAATATTTTAATCCTATTTTCATGTTGACCTTTTGCATGTTTTCAATGATTAGTGTGTTGTTAAGTTTGGCTGAGATCTTGTGTTGACATCATAATTAGGATGACAGGGATTCTTCATCATAATTACAACAGCCTCCCCTCCAATAAATCAATCTTTGTAGTCTGAAGTGTTTCTAAATAATTGGAGGTTAGGGCAGTAATAAATGATGTTTGCAATGTGCTCCTGGTTGCATACCGGCCTTGAGAAAAGGTAGCTGGAGACACCCCTGGGTCCTGCCACAACTACTTATCCCAAGGCACCCTTCAACTGAAAATATGCTGCACATATCATTTTCTTATGCTTGATCTCCAGAAACTCATGGCCCCTACATATTCACAACTGTGACACTATTGCCACAATTGCTCGCATTCTTGCTTTACTGGGCAGCAGCCGCTGCAAGTGACAGACATATATTTTCTTACTGATAAAGGCACAACATACTCCCCTCCTTCCAGAATCAGGATCTCTGCTGCAATTCCTCCTCATATTCAAGATTGGTTTTGGGAGTTGGGTGGGTAGAAATAGTCAATGGGTGGATAGACCTCCATTGCTCACAATGACTGCTGCTTGCTATACTTAGTTAAGCATAACTATGTTCAAGTTTGCTTCACTATTGCACTACTCCACTGCAACGAAAGGGCTGGTTGCATTATCACACATTACCTTACTTTCCAGCACCTTTGTTAAGGGTAGGCACATTGACTGCAAAGATAGATTTTGTGGGGGCATTTTGTCACTGCAATTATGGAACAACTGTAACAGTGAATTTGAATATTAAAATATTGCAAGTCAGACTTACAACTCCATCATTTCTGAACAGGATGTCAGGTGAGGGGAAAATCTAAAACACCACAGAGCTATTAAATTATTAGTTTGTATGGGTTGTTGTGTGGTTTCCGGGCTGTAGGGCCATGTTCTATGGCTGTATGGCTGTGTTCTAGCAGCATTTTCTCCTGGCGTTTCCCCTGCACCTCTGGCTGGCATCTTCAGAGGATCCTCTGATGCCAGACAGAAATGTAGGTGAAACATCAGAAGAAAATGCTGCTAGAACACAGCCATACAGCCCAGAAACCACACAACAGCCCAGTGATTCCAGCCCTGAAAGCCTTTGACAGTATATCAGTTTGTATAATTAAGGTGTTGTCAAGTTCGGCCTATGTCATTGTAATTATTGGACAGGATGCCAGTCAGAAACGTTAAGGCAGAAAAAAAACCCATAGCGAATCTATGTAAACATGTGAATGACATTTCATATCATGCATTTTTGTACCTGCCACAACAGCATCATCTGGTTTCCAGTTCTGGGTGAGAGGAGAGTGTGTGGATGCAGAAGCCATCAACTGACCACCTATTGAACTGCTCCCCAAACCATCAATGTCTGCAAAAGAAAAGTGAGAACTGTTACATTTTTTTAAAAAGGATATAGTTTGGTTGTGATTTTTTCCTAAAAACATGCTCTGTCTCATTCAATCCCAGCATACAATTACTTGCAGTTGAATATGTAAAAATCATCCATTTGACAACTATCATGTGAGATGATGCAAGGTGAGAAAACCCTTTCTGTGGTATCGGATTGCTGTGTAACAACGACCAATTCCAATGAACTGTATACATCTTGATTGTTTTCTATCCTGTTTCTTCCAGTACATTAAGTGCTTGTGGAAATCACTGGCAGTAATATATAAGTGAACAATACAATGCAGCACAACAGAAATGACAATTTAAAACAAATTAATTTTATTTTTAAAGGCTAGAGGGTTTTTAAAAAGACCTTGCTCAGCAACTAAAAAAGTTAAAGAGTTGTCAGAAGTAATTAATGGATTGGCAAAGGGAAATACCACAAACCACCATCAAGAAGGATCAATCTCCCTCTCTCCTTGGTCCCCAGCCATTTTAGTGCAGTCATGTTCTCCAGATGTCAGTCAAGAGGATGGCCTCAGCGCACAGGATATAAATATGTAACCAGGAGTCCAGAGACCAGGTTATATTGTCATATAACCAAACACGTGGTTCCAGCCATTACCTTGCACTCTCATTTAAATTATACTTAGAATAATTAAAAGTTGTGACATAAAGGTGGTTTTAAATTAAGTCATTTTGCTAACAGAGCAAAACACATCATTCTATGCCCTAGTACATTGCCTTTGGCTGAAGATGTGCACTAGTGTCTAATGACAACACCAGTGTTTTACCCACCAGTTAGCATGGTGATGAGAGGAAGGCTGTGCTCTTCAGGGCTTCCCCAGTATCCAGCCTCTCCAAGAAGATTTTTCTCCAGTACTTGATGGTAAAGCTCTTCAACCCAGGCCTGAGAAAATACCATCAATACTCCACTGGACTGGACCTGCTTCATAAACTCCTTCTACAGAGTGAAAGATCACAGTGGAATTAGCACAGTGCAGCTACTCAAATTACTTTCCCTTAGAAATGCCTATGCTTAGCAATATGATACTGACCAGGAGACATCAAAATTTTTCACGTGTTTAATGGCTATTGTGCTTCCCTCTCTGTGTCATGCCATCTAAATATAACATGGTATCACAGTGTAACATAACACATGTGTGACCATAAGCCTTGGACCTATATGTCTCTCTCCCCACTAGTACAGTATGATTTCTTAATGTGTTTTTGCAGTCTTATGAAACCACAATTTGAAGTTTTGGCCAGATTTAGCAAACTACCATTTATGCAAACCAGGGAGTGATGAAGGCCAAACAACCTACCCTGCATTCTCTTCCAGGCTCAGTTAATATAAAACAAGGCACAATATTTACCACAAATTCAGACCAATTGTTTGCATTATTTTTCATGGATTGACAAGCCTTACAACATGACATCTCCAGAAGGATCTGGCATTACAGTTGTCATCTGTATTAAATATTGACTCACCATTAGCATAGGTGACTGGGCAGGCTTCTTTCTATAGTAATCTGCATTGGACAGCTTCAGGTTCAGCAGAAGAATGTAATGAGAGACCATATAGAGACTATCTGCATTCATCAGTGTCTGGAAAGTGAAACTGGCATTCCCATCAAAACCTGGAGACTGCATCATACCTAACAAAGGGAGAGAAGGAGAAGAGATGCCCTGTATCAGAAATCACATTTTAAGGAGCCAAGCTATTTATTCCTCATAGTAAAATTACAAATATTGAAGTGTAATTCATGTTTCAGTAACACACAATTGTTTTGCCAATTCAGGTTGCTTTACTTAAACAGAGATAGGTGTCACTGTCAGCAATACACTGAATGACTGTTATAAGTAGATAGATGTGCTCTGGAGAAGAACTGATGATTTCTAGATGACCTTGGTCAGTCCATAAGTTGGTCAGTACTTCTTTCTTACCCTCTCAACCTACTCCAAAACATACAGTCATAATCTACAAAAAGGGATGACATGAATACAGAAAAGCAAAATAAATAGATCTACAAAAGAGGTGATTCTGTCTATCCACATGAGCTTTAGATGACTTTACAAGCAGTCAAGTGAAAATAAGTTCTACTTTTAAAAATGTTACAAAATAAAGAAATCATTATAAAAGATATTGCCTAGAATTTGGGGGCCGATGCCACCAGTTTATTGATGACATGGAACTCTATTACTCCTTTCCACCTCAGTTCAAGGAAGCTCTTCTGGCTCTAAACAGATGCAGTGACTGAATAAACTTAAACTGAATCCAGACAAGATGTAGGTGTTCTTGGCCAACCAAAAGGTAGAGCAGGGAATGGACATTCAGCTTGTGCCGGATGAGATTATGCTCCTTCTGAAGATGTAATTTAACAGCTGGATTTATCATTGAGTTTGGAAGTTCAGATTTTGGTTGTGGCTTCAATTGCATGGACACAAGGCTTGTGCACCAGCTGTGATCATTCCAAAGATGTCAGATCTGGACACAGCAACATTTGCCTTAGCAATAATAACATGCTGTTTTGATTATAGTGATGTGCTCTACACAGGGTTGCCTTTGACAAAGATTTGGAAACTCCAGTTGGTCCTAAGAGTTGCAGCTACAGTTTTAACTTTGACTTCTTACAGGGATCATGCAACTCTTTTGCTACAAAAACTTTACCAGCTACAGGTCTGTTTCTAGGAAAAATTCGAAGTTCTGGTTATGATATGCAAAGTCTCATGCAGCTTAGGTCCAGGCTATTACACAAACTATCTCTACATATAAGGCCGTCTGTCTTTTGAGATCTTTTGAGGAGGCCCTTCTGTCAGTCCCACTATTTTCACCAATATATCTGGTCACAGCCTACAGGTCTGGACCTCCTTTCCTATTCCCCATCTCCATGTATGAAATCTGTAGGCTAGTAAAAGCTTTGGAGGACTAACGGTTTATGAGGAAAGGCCTTAGTAATGTCCTATACTGTCTATATTTAGTTATTTTTCTTTATAGTACACATGATTTTAATTCTACAGATAGCTTAAATATGTATTTACCTTATTACAATGTGGACAGCTGTTATATGTTTTAACACTAAACAATAGCAACAAGAACACTAGGAAAAGAGACCAAAAGACATATAGTTTGGTTCTCTCTTCTGCACTAGTGCACACTAATTGAAAATATTTGAAGTTACACTAAGCAGAAGGGATTTTTCACACTGGTGTTGACATGGTTTTACAAAGAACCAGTTCAGAACATATGGGGAGAATCCTCAAATATCCTAAGGGCTTAATTTTGCATACAAAGCAATTTACCATATTAATGTGCACAGCTAATTGGTAGTGTATGGGAACATCTGGTTTCAAAAGTATGATTAACTAAGCATGAAAATTCAGCTTTAATCTGAGCATTGAAGTGTATTGAAATATTTGGACCTTTGGGTGATGCAATAATTAACTCTAAAAATGGATTAGCATTTGAAATTCCCAAATCCCATTGAAACCCATGTGTGTATCTTTTATCATTAACATCTTATCACTAAGATATTAAACAATATGCTAATTGTGAATACCCTCCCCCCCATCAATTTGGGAATGCACATGGAAAATCTATGCCAGAATGTGAAGAATAAATGATTACATTTTGAAAGACCCCACAATTAAAGAAAAAAAATATTGCGAATACAAAATTATTTAAAGAAACCTAAAGGATTATACGGATGAAAGGATGGTTTGAGATGCAGGGAAAGCAGTAATAAGAGGCTTACTAATTCAACAAACCACTATCTAGTTTAAAGGGAAAAACAAAATACAGCTAAAAGTTTTTAACCAAAATTAGAGATGAAGAAAAAAATAGAGTATAATAAATCAGATAAAAGTAAAATACAACAAAAGCTTACAACCGCAATATGAATTGCTAATTACAAATGGGATCGAAAGGAAAATAATGTATAAAAGACATAATGTTTTTGAAAACATGTATAAAATGTTTTATAGAAGATATGTAACACCTGAGATAATACTTAAAATAAATAAATCCCATCAGGGAGATTGCTGGAGATGTAAAGTACAGAAAGGTACCTTATTTAAGCCTGGTGGACCTGTAAGTTGGTACAAACATTTTGGGAAAAAGTGATTAAAGAAACAAATATCATGATCATTTAAAAGGTTAGGAAAAATTCATTGGCTGTAAAGCAAATGATCTGATCACAAACCTGAGCAAAAAGTTGAGGCAAAGTTCTGGAGGGCCAAATCAACATCTTCTACTTTTGGCAGTGCTATAAGTCGAGGGAGAAGAGCTTCGAGGGACTGGATAAACAGCCTGGCACTGTGCTGATCAGCTTCTTGGTTCTTCAACAGCTTCAAGGAAAGGGCTGCAGTCCGCAAAGACTTGTGACCAGGGCAGTCTCTTGGCGTCTGTTCTTCATCAGCCAAGGAGCAGTTATCTGAACCTATGTCTGAAACATCTGATCTTCCAGAATCTTTTTCTGCTGCCATGGAATATTGATCACATGAGTCAAATTCAGTCCTTGAAAGATCCTGGTCATCAATGCTGAAATTACTCTCACTATACCTGGATCCACAAGAGCGCGCCCGACAATCAACTGAAAGAAAATTAGTTATATCTGGATAAACCATTGTATGGCTTCGTTGAACAACGTCTGGTTGGTCAATAGTTTCTGATTCTGGCTCTTTGTAATGGAGTTCTCTCACAGCTTGGCCAGCTGGTGATTGCAGAGAATTTTTACGAATGTCAGAACGATCTTCTGGAGTGGTTTGTCCCAATTCCCCTTCTAGGGTTGTCTGACCTGTGTCTGTGGTGACACTAATGCTAATATCAGGACTTTTTTCATTGCCTGCCTCCCAGGGAGTATGTTCAGAGGAGAGGATACGTCTTTGCCACCTAAAATCAGCATCATTGATCTCCATGGAATCCCGACTTGTCTCAGCCCCATCTTTTAACTCATCCACGCGCCGGAGAAGTAAATGGACCTGCTCCTCATCCAGGCCTTTCCCTTGACTTAGCTCATCCAGAGTCCCAAGCAAGGCACAGACACCTGAGACAGAGGCATAGCATGCTTCAATCCCACCTTTAATGCAAGCTTCTGTCATTCCATCCAGGATACTGCAATTTTAAAAAAAGACACACTTTACTTCTAATTTTGGGGCAAATGCTATATTCAATCTTGTTTGGATACAATTAATAAAAGGGGCAGAAAAGTTTTCTTTATAAAAAGATGTCCTGCTGATTGGGCTGTTACATTACATTTTACCAATGTCTATATTTTTTTCATAAAGCCTTTTCTCTTGATTTAATACTAAGTAAGATTGTGAATATGCCAATGTGAACTATATTAAAATGAATGCACCCATGATATTTTGCAAAGAAAAATGATGACAAGAGGAAAACATGCCTTCTTGGATGGCCTCTAAACAAAAGAGTAGCAATCACCAAAGTGGGCATTAAAATATTCATGGTAAATATAAAGAAATGGAGCATACAGTTTGAGAAGATCCAGATGGGACTTTCTTTTTGAAATGGACCTCTTTCTAGATTCTGGTTCAGTGGAGCAGGGCCCGGCCAAATCACAGAGTCGTCTAGGACTGCCGAGTATCTAGAATACAGTTCAACATTGTATAAAGTTAATAAAACTTCATGAAGTTCAAATACATAGAGTATTCTGGAAACATCTTTATGACTTCAGTAGAATTATTTGCCCAGGGACTCAGTGAATTAACAGATATGTGCCTTCTGATGTAAAACAGCTTCCAATAGACTCTACATTGTGACTATAAGACTACATGAGCATGAATCCCTATTTTAGCTTTAAGAGAGATAGGTGTTGAGGATAGAGTATTGGTCTAAGAGTTTACCACATGATAAAAACAATTTGTAATAACAGCAGGACAACAGTGTGGTTGGCTGTGAATTATAACATGACTTCACTCCCTTCCCATCACTCCCTTAGTGGGAAACAGTCTGGAAAGCATTTCTTTTACATATACAAACCATCTGTTAAATATTGTTGTTGTTCATTCGTTCAGTCGTCTCCGACTCTTCGTGACCTCATGGACCAGCCCACGCCAGAGCTCCCTGTCAGTCGTCACCACCCCCCCCCACGAACGTCCAGTAACTTCAAGGATGCCATTCATCCATCTTGCCCTTGGTCAGCCCCTCATCCTTTTGCCTTCCACATTCCCCAGCATAATTGTCTTCTCTAGGCTTTTCTGTCTCCTCATGATGTGGCCAAAGTACTTCAACTTTGTCTCTAGTATCCTTCCCTCCAATGAGCAGTCGGGCTTTATTTCCTGGAGGATGGACTGGTTGGATCTTCTCGCAGTCCAAGGCACTCTCAGCACTTTCCTCCAGCACCACAGCTCAAAAGCATCGATCTTCCTTCGCTCAGCCTTCCCTAAGGTCCAGCTCTCACATCCGTAGGTTACTACAGGGAATACCATGGCTTTGACTAGGCGGATCTTTGTTGCCAGTCTGATGTCTCTACTCTTCACTATTTTATCGAGACTGGACATTGCTCTCCTCCCAAGAAGTAAGCGTCTTCTGACTTCCTGGCCACAGTCTGCATCTGCAGTAATCTTTGCACCTAGAAATACAAAGTCTGTCACGGCCTCCACATTTTCTCCCTCTATTTTCCAGTTGTCAATCATTCTTGTTGCCATAATCTTGGTTTTTTTGACGTTTAGCTGCAACCCGGCTTTTGCGCTTTCTTCTTTCACCTTGATTAGAAGGCTCCTCAGCTCCTCCTCGCTTTCGGCCATCAGAGTGGTGTCATCTGCATATCTGAGGTTGTTAATGTTTCTTCCAGCAATTTTCACCCCAGCTTTGCATTCATCAAGCCCCGCACATCGCATGATGTGTTCTGCATACAAGTTAAAAAGGTTGGGTGAGAGTATGCAGCCTTTCCCAATCTTGAACCAGTCTGTTGTTCCGTGGTCAGTTCTGACTGTTGCTACTTGGTCCTTGTACAGAATATATCTTTTATAAATGAAATACTTTCCAATCAGCTGCAATTGTGATTTGCCTGTTTGTATGATAAATTCATAAGTCATGGGAAGCCTAGATTCCATTTTCCACTTGGCTATAAGCTTTGATTCGTTAGTCATTCTCTCTCAACCTAACTACTTTACAGGGTTGCAGTGAGAATAAAAATGGAAAAGAGGACCATATATGCTATCTTGAGATCCTTGGGGGAATGGAAGGATACTTCTAACTATGGAGGTGAACAAGGTTGAATTAATAGTGAAATCCGATTGTATATGGCTTCCATTCATATGTTGTGTGGGCTTGAGCTCACATTTGAACCATTTAAAAAGACTTTTTCCAACCCTGTTTTTTAAATTTGTGACAGAGCACAAAAAAGACACTGTAGTATGCAACAAATATATGAACTGTAGCAATTATTAGCTCCAAAATAAACAAGCAGTTTGCAGTTTGGGAAGGAATTGCCCTTTGCCAAGAGAGATCCGACAGCTAAATGAGCTCTTAGAATTTGAAACACAACTAAAGACCAATTTCTTACAGCAGGCCTACCCAGTCAATTTTGAACCATGAGTTTTGGTAAAGTAAAAGGTTTTCCACTGACATTAAGTCCAGTCATGTCCGACTCTGGGGATAGATGCTCATCTTCATTTCTAAGTCGAAGAGCCAGCATTGTCCATAGAAATCTCAGAGGTCATGTGGCCAGCATGATTTCATGGCATTCTGTTACCTTCCAGACGGAGTGGTACCTATTGATCTACTCACATTTGAATGTTTTTGAACTGCTAGGTTGGCAGAAAGGAGGAGCTCATGCCGCTCCCCAGATTTGAACCTGTAACCTTTCGGTCAGAAAGTTCAGCAGCTCAGCGCTTTAATCCCCTGTGCCACCAGGGGCTCCATGAGTTTTGGATTTCTATTCAATTGCTGCTGTATTTTGATCTTTGTACCATGTGTTTTGGTATATGTATCTTATAGTGGTGTGTGTGTATTACATGCATGTGTGTGTATGTCTTCTTGTATGTATTTTCTGTTGATGCGTTTTCACTGTGTTGTAGAGGCAGGTAACAAATACAAATATTATTAGCATTAGCAATATTATTAACGTTAGCATTGCTGCCTTTTCACTAGAGTGAACATGAAAAGCAAAAACAAACCAGGAATTAAAAAAAACCCAGAAACCTCTTGCCCATGAGATACCTCTTTCATGATCTTGATAGCCTCCACTCTGTGCTGAGGTGGGGGATACAGCAACATGCGGTGGTAAAGAGACTGCAAGACAGGCTTCATGGACTCCACTGACCCCACTAATCGTACAAGTTCTGCTGCGATGTAATAAATGGTCCGGGCCACAGGACTGCTCAGGGCAGGGGCTGTTGAAGAGCAACCTGACCCTCGACCATGATCAGAGACACCTGAGGAAAGCGCATCCGCCTCATGGCAATGAGCAGAGGTGATGGTTTTGTCATGGACTGGATTTCCCAAGATTACTATGAGGGCTGGGCACAACTGCTTCCTGGAAAATAGAAATAAGGAATGGAATGAACACTTTTTTGGTAATTGATTTTGACACAATATATGGGCAGGACTCCAAATCTCATTAGTGCATCTGAGAATGGAAGCTATCCAGAAGTTGATATGATGCAGTTTAATACCTGGCAGATCAAATCCCCCAAAGAATGAAGTTTTTCCACATTAAAATATTGTAATGGACATATTTTATTACAGCTATGCCTCAATGTGAGAAATTAACCCAGCTTTTGTTCAAAGTAGAGTTTCTTACCATATGAGGTCAGTAAATCCTTTGTGGTGGTGCATAGTAGGAGAGGAACTGGTCAGCATTGACAGAATGCATTCCAGGTAGAGAAGTTGGAGCTGCTGATTCTCGCTGGCAAATGGAAGGGAAATGTATAATGTTTTATTGTTGGTTCTAAACAGAGGCAATAAAAAGGCACATGGTCATTCATCCTCTTTCATAGGAAAATGTAAAAGGGTGATTATCAAGAAAATAAAGGGGAAAGCAGTTGAATGCAATAATCCAGAATCCATTTCAACCTAAAGAGAAAGATGGATTTGCTGTGAACATGCAAGCAAGAGGCATATGGCATAGCTCACTCATAAAATTTGAATTATGTCAGGCACTTCACTTAACTTCATTAAAAAGGGTAAGTTTCTGCAAATGGGTGCCACAGGAGAGAGGTAGGCATTTGTCTCCTCCTCTGACATGATCCCTTTTGGCCATTACATCAGGGTTACATTATTGTGACAGTAAGTCACAATCAAGGGAATAATCTTATAAATACTGCTCAATGTAATATGGGGAACATGTTGGGAACTATATACTGTATGTAATAGCAAACTACTCAGGTTACAACAGCCAGAAATACGTATAGTTATTTAGTATTAATAATAATGTCAAAAAAGATACTAACGATCCTATAATAATTAATTATAATAATTAAGAAGGCATACAGATATAAACACTGCTACTGCTAGTAAACATGTTAAATTCAAAATACAGACAGATACCGTCTGCATGTAATTACAGATGTACAAGTAATAATGGTCCTCAAACTTAATAAAGAATGTTAATGATAATTAGTGGGAATAGTAAACATCTGCTTTTACAATACACATAAGCTATGGTTACCCGATTCACCTCTCAATTAATTTTTCCATGATGTTCTTCATGTATTGTGGCATAGTACATCAAGAACCAATTCACTTAAATGAACTCTAATTGCATGCTGACTGTGGAATAATCATGGCAGAACAAAAAGTACAAATAACATTGTCTCAGCACAAAGGAGAAGATTAACTTGATGGCGATTGCTTTAATAGATGCATTGGGGAGGGGGGAGTGAGTAGAAGTAAGACAACATTGGAAAATGTTATAGGCTATTCTATTTAAAATGAGGCTGTCCTATTAACAGAAGTAAACAGAGAAGAAAAATGAAACTCCTCGATGGAAATACAAGAAAAATACTGTTGCTATTGCTATTTAGATAAAGTTTAGAAATGTATACCTACAACTTCTGTTACTCTTCTTGACTGTTTCACTTCCATAATCCCTATCTAGTCCCTAGTTTAAAGCTACATAAAAACTGTGAAAGTTCTCCAATCTCCACTTACCAGGAAGCAGACCCTGCAAATGACTGGGATCTGTTTCTCTGTCAATTGGGAAGCAGCTGACTAATATTTCAACCACTACTCCCTTAAACAATCTACAGCACAATGTGGGATTGAGACAGGGGTCCTTAATCTGGATATGACTCACAGGAGGAGGAGAGACTCATAAATCTGCACTTAAGACACACATTTTGCTCATTATTGTTGCTAACTGCTATCATCAGATTTGATTAATGGTGACCTGATGAATGAGAGACCTTCAAGTCACTCTGTCTTCAACAGCCCATCACAGGTCTTACAAAATCAGGGCACCCATGCCTTCCTTTACTGAGTTTAACCAAAGATGATGGTGATTCTGCCTATTTCCAAGTTTGGAACACAATCTGGTTTGCAACAACTGGTTGTAACATAGTCTTCGCATACTTGAAAATTCACAACATTCAAGAGTTAAAAAGCATTTATAGAAAACAAAATCAATTTAAAACAACCCATTTAAAACACTACCAACAAAAACATTTTCAGCACATTATAAAAGCCCCCCCCCCCAATATCATGGGAAATGTTTAGACATTGCTTTAGTTTTGTGTATGGTTACACAAAACCCTAGATTGAATGAATTAGCCTAAACTATGGCTTCTAAAACTTTTCTGCTTGAGAAATGGTTACATCAGTGGTTCTCAATCTCAATCAGATGTTTTGGCCTTCAAGTCCAAGAAATCCTAACAGCTGGTAAACTGGCTGGGATTTCTGGGAGTTGTAGGCCAAAACAACTGGGGACCCACAAGTTGAGAACCACTAGGTTACACAATCCCAGGTTTAGAGGTATATAAACTCAGTATAAAAATCAAACATTTACTGAGAACAAAACAGCATTTTCATGGCTTGCTTAACAGACCGATTTTCCATTTTATGAAGTACAGCTGAAGCATCTTATGAAGCACAGCTGAAGCATTTTCTGTAGAGTTTACTGTAAATGCTGCTTAATAGATTTGTGTGAGTGTCACCTAGTGGCATTCAATCTTTTTTCAGGACCCCAACATTGAGCTAAGGCAATGGTTCTCAACCTGTGGGTCCCCAGATGTTTTGGTTTTCAAGTCCTGGAAATCCTAACAGCTGGTAAACTGGCTGGGATTTCTGGGAGTTGTAGGCCAAAACACCTGGGGACCTACAGGTTGAGAACCACTGAGCTAAGAGAACCCTATTTAGGGCCGGTACCCATAGTTTAAAAAGCAGTACCCTAGAATATGGAAAGTGTTCGTGATATTATCTGTGCTTTTTCTAGATATCTTTTATATGAACAGAAGTACAAATCTCTCATTTTAAACAAAAAAACTAGGATTACTGAAATTCTAAAACAGACTCATTATGCAGCCAATAGGGTGTGGTGGCTTCCAGCAGCAGATATGATGAATTGGCTGTAGATTTTACTCCACATGTTAAAGGAGCTATCCAAAGTACTGAATTATTTTCAGCCATTCACATAGCACATCTAAAGGCAATAGAAGCTGATTGTATAATATTAATGCTCTTTTGAATATGGCTGGAATGTGGCACTTATATTGCCTATATCAGGCATCCTCAAACTGTGGCCCTCCAGCTGTTTGGGCACCCAACTCCCATAAGCCCTAACGTGTATGTTAAATTGTCAGGAATTCTGGGAGTTGAAGGCCCAAACAACTGGAGGGCCTCAGTTTGAGGATGCCTGTCCTATATTAAAATAACAATAAAATAATATTTAAAAATAAAGTTTATTCTAAAACCTTGAGCTGATTCACTGCACCCACTGACAGGGAATCTAGTAGTTACCACTGAATTTTACATAGGAATACCTTAGAGAGAGATCCCATCTAGGCAGAATGGTTGACTCCCCACTACTGCCATTTGTTGGTCAGAAAAACTCAAACTCACCTGATGACTGTCTGAAGCTTTTCACAGAGAACCGTGAAGACAGAGACAACATCATCACAGAGGGACTCTGTTGTCAAATCTTTAGAAGGAATAAAGAGAATAGATTAACAGCAATATGCATACATTGTCCTAACTGTACCAGTTATTTGTTTCTGGTTATTCAGTACTGCTTGAACTAACTTATTGTAATAGCTATATTATGCCAGCATATATTAAAGGCTGGAAGTGACTATATTGCTCTGAGTATTGTAGTGTGGGGTAGAGAACAACATTGCTCACTCAGGAAAGCTGCCATGATAGTCAAAAATATTTTTGTTATTCTAGTAAATTATCAATGCAGGATTGAAAAAGTGAAAACAGAAGATATGTGGACATTCAAAATGCATGTCAATTTGGCACAGGCATGATGGAAAGAAAAAGAAAATGGAGGGTGAGAAATAAGTTACTGAATATGTATGAAATTGATACCTGGGCTCTTGAAATCCTGAAGAACACCTTGACTCTCGACTATCTGTTAAGGAAAATATTTTTTTTACCAAATGTGACTAGTACACATAGAAAGAAAGCAACAGTATTTAAGAATGATTACTTCTTTGCTTTGCAGTTAGCAATTAGAATATTTATTATTTATTTACCCATTTATATACCGCCCCTCTCAGCCCAGAGGCGACTCAGAGTGTTTCACAATTGGCAACAATTTGATGCCTCAACAATTATAACAAATAAAACAATCATAAAATACTGTTAAAAACATTAGCATACAATATAAGAACATAAAAACCACACAAAGCCTTAAAAACATTATCATGAGTGTCTCCATGTCAAGTCATTATTCAATTGCGTCATCAAATGGTTCCATGATTTCGTATAACTATGCTGTATTTGGGAAGGCCTGCTCAAAAAGTCAGATTTTCACCTTCCTTCGAAAAGTCAGGAGGGAGGGGGCGGTCTTATATCGCTAGGCAGGGTGTTCCACAGTCGAGGGCCACCACTGAGAAGGCCCTGTCTCTCATCTCCGCCAAATGCATCTGCGAGGACTGAGAGCAGGGCCTCCCCAGATGCATATGTTATCCTAGAAGCTGCTTTTCAAACAGGGCAGACAGAGATAGTAATTATGTTCCTACTTAGGTAAGCAAACCTAGTATCAAGGACAATTTTAAAGCCTACTATGACCCATCTTAGTTTTGAACAGAACTAGAAAGAATTGCTGGGGCTTGTACTACCCAGAACACACATACATACACATCCCAGTCTGTGAGAACAGTGCTATACTGGCCAGGGTACGAAGGAAACTATAACTCCAAAAAGTAACTGGTTCTAAACTCCGGTTCTAAGGGGCATTTAAAAGCTTGTTTACAGTTCTGATTTTAACATTTCTAAATCAAACTGAGACAGCAGAACTGGGAAAGACTGATCTATGCATTTTTGCCAGCAGACTCACCGTATTTTCCTGTCTTTGTCGTAACTGTAAAGTCAAATCACTTAACATCTGGCTGAGAGTTGCCCGTACAGCTGTATTAATACTCCGCTGATGATAGCTGGATACATAGGTCTCAATGCAAATCTGGTTAGAGAGGTGGGGGTGGAGTGGACAGAGGAATGACAGCAGAAAGTCATTTATACTGACAATAACATCAGATCAGTAATACGAGCAATATAAGTATATTGCCTAGAATTCAAATGTTGAGTAATTATAGGCAGCAGTCTCCATGCTAAATCTCTCAGAGCTTTACAATGTAATTTAGGGTCCTTTTGTACTACACACTTATAGTACTAGGATTCCACTTTAACTTCATGGCTGCATCCTATTGAATTTAGGATTTATATTCTGGTGAGGCACCACAACTCTATTATTGAGAATTCTTTTTTTAAAGGTCTTCAAATCCTTTATGGATAAAATGCAAAAAATATATTGCTATTATTATGTAGAATTACAGGGTTTTTGTGGTAAATAATTTTTATGAAGCATTGAGAATTCTTAAATGTTCCTCCTAGACATGTTCCCATAGCCAGAAGCCAAGAGGCAATAACTTTCAAAGACTTCTTGAAGACTCCAAAAGATTTTTGTGGGAAATATCTTTGGTCTATAAGAATATGGTCAGATGCTTCTCCTATCCCTGCCCCCTGTTCTCCATCAACCATTTGACAAAGTTCAATATGGGTTTGGAAATGTTTTTATTATTATCATTATCCATTATCCATTTAAAAATATGTTTCCAGACACTTTCTATTGGAAAGAATCATATAACAGGTTGATTTTGATGTAGATTTATCTCACTGTTTGAATTCCATAACATGTTCCAAGGCCATTGGGAATGGGATTTTTTATTAAACAGTCCAAGTTTAGCTTCCAGAAGAAAGAAAGCACTTACCTCAGCAATCTTAAGTATGGAGCTCCCATTCAACTCAAATGTTGGAGTGAATGTTATACACAAAAGTATCTGCAAAGCAAACAGCAAAAGCTTTAGTCTGATGCCATTCCGAAACAGATTTTGCTGGCATAGGTTGTGAACTTCACCCAGAAACAAGTTCAGCACATACACACACTCCCAACATTATCAGAGAAACAGACCAGAAGATGAAACCCGACTTCTCTTCCCAGTAGAATTGAACAGATGAATGCATTTAGTGAAAAGAAAGAACAGAAATACAAAGGGTCTGCCATTCAAAGATGTCTGAATTGGATAGTGCTCTACTAGGATAAGAATCATTAGATCAAATCTTTCCCTATTTGATGCCATCCAGATGTCCTGCTGGAGAAACTGTCCATTGTTGTCTGGACAGATAATCTAATACATCTGATGGGGGAGGACTGCATAGAGTTGCAAACAAAGTTCCTTGTGCCTTTTGTGAATATCTGGAAACTATATGCATCTTGACAGAGGGGTACAAATTAATTATACTGGCTTATATTTATATACCATCCTACATTAGGAACTGTAGTCTAGATGCCCATCAACTGGAAGCATATTTAGTCAGAAAACAAGCAAAATCACATATACATAGGTCTTTTACACACCTTCACAGTCCTAGGATGAGAAGAAGGGTAGGAGTCATAAGATGGGGTCAAAAGGAATCTGGGTGTTGTTGAACTACAATTCCCAACATTCTTCACCAATGGCTTTGCTAGCAAGGACTACTGGTAACTACTGTCCAATAATATCTGGATACTGCCTGATTTCTACCCCCAAATTAGACTAATGAAAATATATTACTATATTTTCTAGTTATTAAATATATCTACCAAGCCATGCATGAATATGCTCTCAGAAGTATGATTTAAAAAGGAAATTCTGAAATGAGATTTCTGAAAATGTCCTGGAGCACAAAACACAATGAATGTCTTTTTTTCATAGCAGTAGAAATCACTGTAGTATGAAAATGGTCATATTTCAATAAAACATCAAGCAGAAATGTAAAGACACTATAACAATAATTATCTGGATAGGCTGGAAAAGAATTCTTTAAGGCATGAAACAGGAATAAATTTCAATCACCTCTTTTGCTGCCATTTTTAGCAGTTCTCAGTTCAAACAGAATAATTCAGAGAAGCTAAAACTGTAAAAACAGATGGATGTTATATATCATGTTATCTAGTCTGCATTCTGAGACTACGTGAATGCTATCTATTTGGCCATCAACTCCAGTAACATACGTACATATTCTGTGAAATTAATTGCCTAGCTCTTCAAACAGAAATTCCTCAATATTATTGATTCCTTGGAGTCATCTATAAATGCCACATTTTCAATTACTTTCTTTTAGATACCCAGGGACTGGATATTGCTTTGCTTCAGAAGTCTAGCAGGAATTGCCTGGTGAAGCACTATAGCCTAAAGCAACAATTAAGAAACACATAAGACTATTCCCAGTTCTAGTTTGAGTACCAGATGTCTGTCTGGAAGGTTGGGTTGGGGGTGCCACCCTCCCTGTGTCAAATAGCTAATTTGCAACATTTCAAAGGGGGCTGGGAATCATGAGGCTTGGTAGACTGCAGGTTCCAGCACTCATCACCATCAGCTATTGGGAGATGCAGTCAGACAACATCAGAAGAGCTTTACAATCCCCACCACAGATTTAGAGTGTGTGCCTAGTTCCAGAGGCTAATTAAAATTAATTAAGGCATCAAAGTTGAACATTTCTTAACATAAAGGAACAACAATTTAATTAAGCTTCCAACCAAAGTGGCTGACTTCGATTCTAATTTAAGCATTACTTTTATTGCAGAATGAAGCTCTTAACTTACTTTCAGAATTAAGTTATAATTAAATTATTAATTAAATGAGATATACGAGACAGCTAACCATTTTTTGCTTTCCCCAGCTGCTTCTTTAACCAAAAGCTAACTATTTAATGCTTTCTGTTAATCCTTTAGCATTGGGAAATTTCAGTATTTAAATGGATGACAAGGATATTCTCTAAAGGCCCTTCCAGACAGGCCCTATATTCCAGGTTTTCCCAGGATCTGATCCCAGGTTTTTTGCTTTAAACTGGATTATATGAGTCCCCATTACCAGATAATCTGGGTTAAACAGAAAACCTGGGATCAGAACCTGGGATATAGAGCTTGTTTGGAAGGACCCTAAGAAGTCCCTATTTTGAGCCACAATTGGAATACCAATGCTTTCATCTGCATCTTCTCAAGTTACCTTGTTGATTCTCTTGCTTTATCCTGCATATACTAGAAAAACCATACAACTCATTCCACTTCACATAGAAGTATCCCCTAATTTGCAATATCATTACTTTATGGTCATTACAACCACATAAAACAGCAAGTTATTTACCAAGAGTCAATAAACTGTTTCTATGGAGCTCTTATCTGATGCTGTTGCAGATCATCAAGAATTTAATTACTATTGAACAGAGTTCAAACAACAATTCAATGACTGGATTTCAGGATTGCCTTTGATTATTGAAATCATAATTATAATCTCATTCATCTCTCTCTCTCTTTTGGCTTTAGGGGGATATAACAGGGCGATTATAGGGCGATTCTATCGACGCCTTGGTAACTCTCTATAATGGGGAGATGTCCAGGGCGATAGATACGATCGCACCCGAACGCCCCATCTCGTTGCGTCGTGACAGGCCATCTCCCTGGTTCACCGGGGAGCTGACTGTGATGAAGCATACGAGAAGGGGGCTAGAGCGCAAATGGAGGAAATCTCGGGACGTGTCTGATCGAGCACGGGCTAAAGCCTCTCTTAAGGCATACTCCGTGGCTATACGGGTGGCCAGGAAATCATTCACGACCACCCGTATAGCGTCTGCAGCAAATAGATCATCGGAGCTGTTTCGGGTCGTGGGGGAACTCCTCCACCACCTGTGGTGGAGGAGGTCACTGATGACCCAGCAGCTCGGTGTCGCGATTTCGCACACCATTTTGCAGATAAAGTCGCCCAGATACGCCTTGAGCTCGACTCCAACTTCATCGCAGTGCCAGAAGAGGTGACAGAGGCATCTGCTTGTCCAACTTTGTGGGATTCTTTTAGGCTTGTTCTTCCTGAAATCGTGGAGGAGATTCTTGGGGCTGTGAGGGCGACCACCTCATCTCTAGACCCGTGCCCATCTTGGCTCATTAAATCAGCCAGGGAGGGGCTGGTTGATTGGTTTGTAGTTGATTATCAACGCATCGTTGGAGCAAGGGATTTTTCCATCTAATTTGAAACAGGCTGTGGTTCGTCCACTCCTCAAAAAGGCTTCCCTTGACTCCACGGTGCTGAGCAATTACAGGCCAATCTCCAACCTCCCTTTTTTGGGTAAGGTGCTGGAGCGGGTGGTCGCCTCCCAGCTCCAGAGCTTCTTAGATGATACCAACTACCTAGATCAGTCACAGTCTGGTTTCAGGCCTGGTCATGGCACCGAGACGGCCTTGGTCGCCTTGGTGGATGACCTCCGCAGAGAGCTGGACAGGGGGAGTGTGACTCTGTTGGTTCTCTTGGACATCTCAGCGGCTTTCGATACCATCGATCATGGTATCCTTCTGGGTCGTCTCTCTGGGATGGGCCTCGGGGGCGCGGTTCTGTTGCTGGCTCCGGTCCTTCCTGGAGGGACGAACCCAGATGGTGAAGCTGGGAGACGCCTGCTCAGACCCCTGGCCTTTGACCTGTGGGGTCCCGCAAGGCTCTATTTTGTTGCCCATGCTTTTCAACATCTACATGAAACCGCTGGGAGAGGTCATCCGGAGTTTTGGAGTTGGGTGCCATCTCTATGCGGATGACACACAACTCTACTACTCCTTTCCACCTAACTCCAAGGAGGCTTCTCGGGTGCTAGACGAGTGCCTGGCCGCTGTGTCGATCTGGATGAGGGAACAAGCTGAAGATCAATCCTGACAAGACAGAGGTCCTCCTGGTCGATCGTAAACCGGATCGGGGTATAGGGTGGCTACCTGTGTTGGACGGGGTTACACTCCCCCTGAAGCCACAGGTCCGCAGTTTGGGTGTCCTCTTGGATTCGTCGCTCACACTTGAGGCTCAGGTGTCGGCGGTATCCGGGAGGGCCTTTGCACAATTGAGACTTGTGCGCCAGCTGCGTCCGTACCTCGCGAAGGCTGATCTGGCCGGGGTGGTCCATGCCTTGGTCATCTCTAGAATGGATTACTGTAATGCGCTCTACGTGGGGCTGCCCTTGAAGACGGCTCGGAAACTTCAATTGGTCCAGCGGGCAGCAGCCAGGATGCTAACCGGGGCTCATTATCAGAGAGAGGTCTACCCCTCTGTTTAAGGAGCTCCACTGGCTGCCATTTATTTTCCGAGCCCAATTTAAGGTGCAGGTGCTCACCTACAAAGCCCTGAACGGTTTGGGACCACCCTACCTGCGTGACCGCATCTCCATCTACGAACCCACACGCTCACTCCGATCATCTGGGGAGGCCCTGCTCGTGATCCCACCCACGTCGCAAGCGCGCTTGGTGGGGACACGGGACAGGGCCTTCTCTGTGGCGGCCCCCCGACTTTGGAATGCCCTTCCAAAAGATCTTCGACAGGCCCCTACCTTAGCAGCTTTCAGAAAGAACCTAAAAACTTGGCTGTTCCGATGTGCCTTCTCAGATTAGGAATCCCCCATCCCAAGTCCTAGAAGCACTTTAGTACAATTAATATTACTGCACACCGCACTATTTTAATCCTATGTTCCTCCTGCCACTCCAGCACTTTTAACCCTGTACCCCATTGCGCTGGCCGGCCCAGTTTTAAAGTGTCCTGATGTTTTATTACTGTTGTTTGTTATTTTGCTTAACTATTTGATTTGCTTTATTTACTATTGTTGTGTTATGTTTTTTTACTGTATTGTGTCTCTGAGGCTTCGGCCTGTGTAAGCCGCATCGAGTCCTTCGGGAGATGCTAGCGGGGTACAAATAAAGTTAATAATAATAATAATAATAATAATAATAATAATAATAATAATAACAGCAAAAGAAATATAGAAAAACATGTAT